CTAGTCTCCCCTCGTTTTTTTTTTTTTTTCGTGGATTTTTCTCCCGCTCTCTACTATCCGAACGCCTGGAACAGGCTACTTTCTCCAGTATCAAACGTCCACTCTCAAAGGATTTACACTTGTTGTAACTCCAAAAAATTGTTATTGTTTATAGAGAGGAAGACTTACGCACACGAGCCTGACTTACAAGACTTGATAGAATACTTACAGACTGATGATACCACACTGATCGTAAATGCCGCTAACTACCTGCAGCATCTCTCGTATAGTGATGAGCAAGTCAAGGTTAAAGTACGGTAAGTTCGTCAGGCAACAAAATTTTTCATTGTAAAATTGACAAAAGACAAATTGTAGCCGCAACGTTCGCCCGACAGCTTGTAATTGGCTAAGAGATTTCTTGCAGTCCCGAGGGTTGTTTCGCGCGTGAGTTTAGTCGGCCCAGGGAAGATATTTTACTCGGAGAGTGTACTAGTTCAGCAATGCCAGGCTATTACAAGCGCTGCTTAGTTGAAAGTTTTATTCAATTATCACCACTGAGAGTTTCAGTTGTGTTGTAAGTTTACTTTGGAAGGATGTCAGGGTACCTAGCATTATGACCTGCAGGGTAGGCGCTGTTGGGCACGAGTTAAACGATACGCGTGCCAGAGGATGACACGCGCCTTCTCCTCTCTCGCGGGTCGTTCTTTTTTGCACCCTAAATTTTTCATGGGCCTTTTACGGGGTCTATGGTAGTAACAATTCACCTTGTTTATGTTACTGTTGTTTGTTTTATAACAGTGAGCTTGGTGGCATCCCAGTTTTAGTACGTCTTCTTGACCACGAATTAGAAGAAATTCATCGATCTGCTGCGGCCTGTCTATTAAATTTATCCTACAGTAAATCAAGAGACGAAAACAAGGTAATTATCCTATTTTCAATGTCGTGTTGATAGAATGTTCGAGCTACATCAGCGACTTCGTTTAGTGAAGTATTTTCTTTGTTAACTTTCTCACTGACAGGGCTCCCTTAACAGGAGTGACAATTTTATATAAACACACGGTTTAACCGGCATGAGATGGTCGTTTTCTACGCTCCATGTGACATTGGCGTAGTCGTGTTAGACGAGTCATATTCGATTGGGATTAGTTCTGTAGGAAACTGTGTTGCGTCGATGGGAAAGCAAAACTCAAAACTAGGGGACCCTCTTTGGAAAGTCCCTTTTATTTTCGAATATAGCGCAACATTATATACAGAAGATCCATAATTACTTAATTAATCCATCACTGTGATGCATATACGCCTGCGTGTCTTTGATTACTTGGCTTTTGAACCAAACATTGCAGAAATTTTTTCCCACGTTATCGAGACTTTGAAAAAACGACCCCCTGGTTTTAGACTGCGGAAAGTCTCTCTCTTTCGTCAAATTTAGTGAGGGGATTGCGAGGTTTCGCTCCTTCAGTCACGCGCCTGGTCATTTTTGTGTCCTCCGCGTTTCGCTCGACGGACTAACAAAAAAGAGACACTGCTCGTCGACTACATGGTTCTATCAAGTTGGCAGTGTAAATAGATTCAAAAGGTTCGCATTGAGCCTTGTTTTCTCACAATTCTTTATTTGTGTGTTTTTTCTCATTCAGCTGGCCATTGCTCATTGTTACGGTATTGAAGCTTTAATTCGATTGTTAAAAAGAACAAGAAAGGACGAGGTAAGCAGTCTGTGTAGTTTAACTTCTGTTTGTGTGTGCAATCAATGAACTTAGTGACAGACAAGTGTATATTTTGTCTCTTGAGATGAGAAAATGTTCGTGTTAGTATGGTATCAGTGTTTAATGGTTGACGGTCGTTCACTTAATTTTTAAATTTGTTCCAGGTGAAAGAACTGGTGTTAGGAGTTTTATGGAACCTTTCATCGTGTGAAGTAAGTTCTTCTAAGTTGTAATTGTAGCACCTCCTAAGCTTTGTAGACGCCAAAGATATCTTTTCAGTATTGTCGAGGAAGAAATATTTAAGTAGAGTTTAACTTATGGGCAGCTCCATGCTGTGTTAAAATAAAAATATGTCTATTGCTGGAGATGACTGATGAGCGTCCAAGGGAAAGATAGTGAAGTTAGTCATTAATCTCCCTCTTTGTTTATTACGGTGATAGTGTGTGCTCTTTTCTCGCGGCATAAACTGTTAATGCCACACATGTTTTAAGCTTTTTTTTTTCTTTCCTCCAACAGGATCTCAAGCTTCGTATCATCGAAATATGTCTGATTGTCCTAGTAACTATAATAATTATACCGTATTCTGGTTGGACCAAAACCGCTGCCCAGAGTAACGCGCCGATCCCGTCAATTAAATGGTCGACCGTCTTCCGTAATGCCAGCGGTGTTCTTAGAAATGTGTCCTCAGCAGGGCCTGAGGCAAGACGAGTTATGAGGGACTGTTATGGACTGGTGGACTCCTTTGTGTGGATCATTAAGGCGCCTATTGGAAAAACTGATATTGATAATAAGGTAACGAAACAGGAAGGAAATATTGTTCTCTTATTGTTCTCTTAGTCTTAGGTGACGCTCAGTCACTTGAGCACTTTATCACGGAATTGACTGGAAATCAGTTTCAAAATAACTGCTAGCTAACTGCTGCTAAAAACAACAACAAAAATAACGAACTCGGTTGGGGAAAACGGAAAAAGATTCAAGCGGGTTGTATTCTGGTAAACTTGAAAACGTTTGTGAAAGTGTGACGTTTGTCAGTTCACCGACTTATTGGAATGTAAAATTTTGGGCTCGTTTTCACATAACTTTACGGCGGCCATCTTGGTGTACAAAACAATTAAACAGCGGCCAGGTTGGTGTACAGAAAATCATTAGGGGATTTAACTCTTTTCTTATGTAAAAATTTCCTTTTGTTCCAAGAATTGTGCACACCTGCAGCCTGCTGGTCACGTGACTGAAAACGCTCTATTAACAAAAAAGACAAAAGATTTAGGTAAAATAAACTGACCAGGTCTGCTAACTCTCTCCTATGGTGTGATTATTGAAATTAAACCTCTTCGGCAGTACTTTCACATGGTAAATTTTTGTTCCGCGTAGTTTACAAAATGAAATGAGGGAAAGTTTTACTTCGATCACTGTTATCAGTGGAGAGTCAAGGTTACTTATCTTTATTGCTGTTTTAGTCTGTAGAGAATTCCGTCTGTATTCTTCGCAATTTGTCATATCGTCTGGAAAACGAAGTTGACAGAGAAAAATATAAGGACGCTTCTATGATTGAACCAAGCCGCAAGGAACCCGAGAAACCCGATCCGGGCTGCATGGCAGGCTGCGGAGGTGCATCAAAGAAGAAAAAGAAGGGAACAATCAAAGAATCGGAACAGCCTCAAATTAGAAGAGACCCGGTCGAAGGAGTCGAGTTACTATGGCAACCGGAGATTGTCAAATCATATTTATCTATAATGGCAGAATCGTCAAATCCTGAGACGTTAGAAGGCTCGACTGGCGCTGTACACAATTTAACGGCTTGTGGATGGCGGGTAAGACAAATTTCACTTGATGGAAGTTCCTCCCTCTCTTCGTCTTTGTACTCTCTCTCTCTCTTCTGTTTGTGCCGTAACGTAACGGTTTCCCTGGAATAGGCTTGTTGCGTGACGACCAAAATAATGCTTGTGTTGAAGACCATGTAACTTCCTCTTTCTGACCATTGCATCTGTATAAAGGAAGAAAGGAAAAAGGCATGCAGCGGGTGTTTTACGCCAAATACCAGGCTCCTTTTGCTCAGAAACGGCACACTTAGGTTAAAGAGCTACCTTCGTGTTTAAGACATTATGAACAGTGCTTCAAGTTCAAGATCGTTCTACTCTTTATAATAACAATTTTGCATCAGCCCGCACCGCTCGAGATTATAATAGTGTACGAACTAACAGGATATGTGGTGGGCAATGGAGCGTGGAGAGTGTTGGCGAGTAACCGCGAACAGACGGGAAGGGACGAAAGGCAATAAAAAAGAAGCGAGCGGCGAAACCCGACAGCTCGTAACTTGAAAGCGAACCCCACACACGACAGCTTGCTCGCCTGCTATTGCAAGCGCTTATAGCAACACTACCCCACTCGTTTGTAACTGTAGAGAGTGTTTTGACATTTTTCCCGCTTTCCTGATACTCTGATGCAATCTAAACGCGTTGATTTGCTTATGTTTTCGTTTTGCAGTGGTCCATGGTAGCGCGTTCCGCTGTGCGGAAAGAGAAAGGTCTTCCCATTTTAGTGGAACTTTTACGAATGAACTTTGATCCTGTAGTAAGGGCTGTTGCTACTGCTCTTAGAAATCTTGCAATTGATCCAAGGAACAAGGACCTAATAGGTTTGTATAAGCATCTGCTGCAACGTGTATTACGGACAATGTCACAAAGTGGTTCCCTGTCCTGTCTGCTGTCTGCCAAGGGATGTAGGCCTTACCCGTTAGATATTTTAAGCAGCGGCTGACTTCAGGAGAGTTTCGTCTTCATAGTCAGCGGGAGAATGTCAAACATGAAACATTCCTTATAAATCAAGCTTCTACGGAGCTGTGTCTCGTAATTTATTTTAAAAAATAACTAACAGTTGGAACTGCCATTAAATTGAGTGGAACAAAAAAATAACATATCAAAATATGAAAAGAAGGTATAAATAAAGCAGCAGTTACAAAGGGAGGAAAGGATGGACAAACTTGAAGAAGATAAAAACGGATTGCAATTGTGGGTTTTTGAAAACTTGTCAGCCTAACAGTTTTTAAGGGTTCATTTTGTTGTTTGTAACGTTTGATATGATGCTTGGGAGGTACATTTGTCGGACAAGAAGCTGTGCAGTGTTTTTTGTTATTTATAAATACTTTCTTCGTTAACGTCAAGTTCTATACTGTATAAGAAAGCGTAATTGGCAATATTGACAAAAATGAACTAAACGGTCGTGACACAGCCCCTTAAGAACCCAAATATTTACGCTTGTAAACAGTGCATGTTTTTAGTATTTTTTCAAGTTGCTACCTTTGGTGCCTGTAGGTAAATACGCTACAAAGGATCTTATTCACCGTCTCCCTGATCCTGAAGCACCCAATGACAGAGTTGAAGAGAACACAGTCGGCGCAATACTATGTGCTGTTCATCAGGTGGTCAACAAGAGCATCCCAAATTCAAAGTAAGACACCTACAAACAGCCTGCTTTTATAATGCTGTGGAAAAACGCGAAAAAAAAAAACAACAACAACAAAACAACTACTGCTACTACAAACAACCAACATTGAAATGGGCGCGGTACCTAGCCCACAAGAAAAGGAGAGAAACTTTTGAAAGTTGAGATTTACTCAGGATATACCATAAATTTGTAGATGTTTAAGTAAGAAATTTTTGAGTGTCTAAACGGAGTTCTTTATACTTTCGGTTGCCTGGTAGGGAACTAGGCAAAATGCATTGTTATTTGGTTAAAGTAAGTGTGTAAACCGGAACTTATATTGAAGGAAGTCCATGGTGTTTTAGACGTATTCTGTCCCGCGTCTGTACAAAATAAGATAGGGCACAAAGTCAAGGAAACGCGCCGGCAACCAGACCTATCGGCCATTTTGACGGGGTCGACTTGCACTATGGGATTGTTTTTGGGCCAGCTTGTGCGCAACTTCGTAATAGCCAATGAAAACAGTGCTAATGTTGTCCCAAAACAGTCCCATAATGCAGTTTGACGCAACTTCAAAATGGCCTATCTTATAGCAGTACCACCGCGCAGACTGAGTGCCAGCGTGCAGTGTCTGTTGTATTGATATAATTCTGTTTTTACTTCTCTTCAGACACGTGCGCAGTGTTGGAGGACTAAAGAAGATTGTGGCGATAGCGAAGTCGAGGGACAGATACTCGCCAAAGATAGTCAAAACAGCTAACCAGGTATGTTTATCACCAGTTATCGATAATAACAACGAATATGACGAGAAAGTTATCTTTTGATGATACCGATTACTATGCGACTATCCTTGGCTTAAGGAACACAAAGTCAAAAACAGGAGGTAGCAGGCCGCAATTTCCTTGACACTGATATAGAAAGAAGCCTCAACCTGCATTTCCTACTGTAACGATGCAAAAGGATTTTCTTAACTCCTAGAGTGTGAAGAGGATATGCTAACGTTTCCTTCGAAAAGAAATCGGCTGAAAATAAATAAGAGACCAGCGGTTTCCGTGAAAAAATTGATGCAGGTGGAATACTATTTTTCGCGGTCGACTCACAGACCTATTTTCACTCGTTATTTTGTTTGTTTGTGTGTGTGTGTGTGTGTGTGTGTGTGTGTGTGTGTGTTTTTTTTTGCTTTTTTTAAACGCTTTTTTCCTTATAATCAAAAAGTTTTAAGTGGTCAGGTTTTTTGGTTTATTCGTCTCCAATTTTTTTCTTCTTCTTGCAGGTTTTAATAACAATTTGGAATCTAGTGCCTCTTCGAAGTTCTCTGAAAAACGAGGGCTGGGAATTTACAAAACGAGAGAAATTTTTGAAAGCTGAGATTTACTCAGGATATACCATTAAGATGCAGCCTGCGAAAACATCCGTTCCTCCCCTCTCTTCGCCGCTGGGGACGTTTCACGCGGAGGAAAGTTTGCGACTCAGCGACAGAAATTCCACACTGATGACGTAAAATCTGACCGGAATCCAGTCAGAGGAGCTGATTGGTCGACGGAGTAGTTACATTGTTTTAGCTATTGTTTACGAATGACAGACAAAAGACAAAAGGCCACAAAGGCCAAATGTAAACGCGAAGAATCTCTAACAAAACAATCAGTTTTTTGTGGAATATGGTCTTCTCTAGAAGAGGCATTTGAGATTTGCTGGAGCTCGTTGGCAGATGAACACAACACTTTACCAAAATCGACCAGAAAACACGTAAAATTGGACAAATTTATATTTGGAACCCCATGACTACCGGAATTATTATGTAAATATTGATTTGCGTCATCAGTATGGAATTTCTGTCGCTGAGTCGCAGACGTTCCTCCGCGCGAAACGTCCCCAGCGGCGAAGAGCGAGGAGGAACGGATGTTTTCACAGGCTATTCAGATGTAGATCTCTAAGTAAGAAGATTTTGAGTGTCCAAACGGACTGTAAGGGCACAATATACTGTTATATGTTTAAAGTAAGGATGTAAACCGGAAGTTATATTGAAGGAAGTCCATGGTGTTTTAAGACGTATCCTGTCCCGCGTCTGTACAAAATAAGATAGGGCACAAAGTCAAGGAAACGCGCCGGCAACCAGGCCTGTCGGCCATTTTGACTGGGTCGACTTGCACTATGGGATTGTTTTTGGGCCAGCTCGTGCGTAACTTCGTGATAGCCAATGAAAAAAGTGATAGTGTGTTCCAAAACAGTCCCATAATGCAGTTTGACGCAACCTCAAAATGGCCTATGTTATAGCAGTACCACCGCGCAGGCTGAGTGCAGCGTGCAGTGTCTGTAGTATTGATATAATTCTGTTTTTACTTCTCTTCAGACACGTGCGCAGTGTTGGAGGACTAAAGAAGATTGTGGCGATAGCCAAGTCTAGGGACAGATACTCGCCAAAGATAGTCAAAACAGCTAACCAGGTATGTTTATCACAAGTTATCGATAATAACAACGAATGTGACGATAAAGTTACCTTTTGATTATACCGATTACTATGCGACTATCCTTGGCTTAAGGAACGCAAAGTCAAAAACATGAGGTAGCAAGCCGCAATTTCCTTGACACTGATATGGACAGAAGCCTCAACTTGCATTTCCTACTGTAAAGATGCAAAAGGGTTTTCTTAACTCCTAGATTGTGAAGAGGATATGCTAACGTTTCCTTCGAAAAGAAATCAGCTGAAAATAAATAAGAGACCAGCGGTTTCCGTGAAAAAAATTGATGCAGGTGGAATACTATTTTTCGCGGTCGACTCACAGACCTATTTTCACTCGTTATTTTTTTTGTTTGTGTGTGTGTGTGTTTTTTTTTTTTTTTTTGCTTTTTTTAAACGCTTTTTCCCTTATAATTAAAAGTTTTAAGTGGTCAGGTTTTTTGGTTTATTCGTCTCCAATTTTTTTCTTCTTCTTGCAGGTTTTAATAACAATTTGGAATCTAGTGCCTCTTCGAAGTTCTCTGAAAAACGAGGGCTGGGAATTTACGAAAGAAATAGGCGATGAGTTTGGTCACGTGCCCCCAACGCCACGCCCTTTTGAGGACATAACAATGCCACGAGGAAGACAACCGCCGCCCGGGTCTTTAAAAAGAGAACCTCGTCCGATAAGAGCCGAGGAGACATCCATTCCTCAACCTCAATTCTACGAGCCCGAAAAAAGCGGTCCACCACCAAGTACTTCCACCAAAGGCGACGGTTACGAAGGGGACGACGAAATACGCCGACAAAGGGCGCCGAGAGAGGTCCGAGATGAAATAGAAATGGAGGATATCGGCGGTTATCGGGAACTCGATAATAATCCGGATCCCGAGCGTACCGGTGGTGCCCAGGCTTTACCTCCGGCCTACGATAGTAGACAGCCGCGTGAGGAACCACTGTACGCCCAAGTTGATAAAAGCAAAAAGAAAATGTACAAATTGCAAGGAACTGAAGGACAACAAGGCGATTCTTGGGTGTAAAACAGTTTTGCCGTGAAATGTGCGAGTCGTTTTGATTTTTTTATGTTGGTTCTCCAAGACTTCTATTTTTGTCGCTCTTTTAATAGGCGCGAACGAGGTACATTAACAAACCAACAAAAAGATCAAAAGGACAAAATGAAAAGTGAAGTGAAAGTGACGTTTGTTTTTTAAAAACAGCCAGCTTGGAAAAAAAATTCTGACGCTTTTTCTTATTGCTGCCTCTGAACGTTGGATGATAAATTACCTCTGTGGAAGAAATATTACTTGACTCTATGCCAACACTAAGGTTAGCAATAGTAAAAGCGTTGAAGTGACTTTTGTTATAGAGTTTGGTCCATTAATGACAAATGCAGATAACCCTCAGCAGGTCAAGGTAACGAAGAGTAGCGATCTTTTAATTCATTAGTGTAAATTTTTAATGATTTCCATAAAGCATGTATAAAAATCCTTTAGATAGATTTAAATACTAGCTTGAGGGTCTAGAAGGCTTTTTAGGCTTTTCTTGGCGAAGGTAGAATAAAAACGTTTGTCACGGCTTGGTTAGCACGCTGGGTTCCAGGCCGTCCGAACTTGCCTGCGTCCGTTGCCATATGATTGCGCGTGAGACCAGGGTAGAGTTGTGTTGAATTGCTTTGTGGCATTTTTTGAGGGGACGAATTTTGACCTATTTTCCTGTGCAACCTCATAATAAACGATTCCATGGCGCACTTCAACACAGCATTGAGCAGTCTTACCTCAAAATATCTCAAATTGCTCTATGGGATTTTTTGCGGGACGAATTCTAACCTAGTTTCACTCGCAACCACGCAGTAAACAATCCCTTGGCGCATTTCGACACAGCATCGACGCAGTCTCACCAGTCATAACGTCGAATATCTGAAAACACTCACGATCATATACCTGAGGTCAGAATAGGTTGCGTTCAAATTTCCTTTGTCTAAATATTTCTCTCAAGTCAAGCCAGATCTTCACAGGCCCAAGCTGAGTGACAGAATTTTTAAGGCCGCTGAAGTAGTGATTTATTTTGTAAGAAAATATTAAAAACAACGAACAGTTTTGTTATCTTTTAATTGTGATGTTTTTTGAGGATGGATTCATTTTTAGCGTACACGTATAGCTGTCTTATTTACAGTTTGAATCTTCCGCTGTTTTTAACCTCAAAGACAAACCTCCAGCGAGCTAATGCGACGGCTATACGCGTACACTGCATATGAATAACTACCCTAAATAAGTAACTGATACCTATGCGAAGTTTGTTTTGGACCAGATGTTTGAGGATTCACTCGGCTGTGCGCAGTGGTTCGCGTTTTCATTAATGCACAGCAGTACCCAATTTCTCTCAAAGGAATAGATTGTCGATACGGTTACACAGAAGCATTCAAAATAGCTCATGCACGTTAAACGTGCCTATGTTTCAAATACCGTGGAAGGTGTCACCATTCAAACGAAACTTATTTGATGGACCTTTTTCATAGTACAATTTATTTCCTATGACTTGACAAAAAGAAGCACACAAACACAAGCAGTCCAGGCTCTATGGGAGTTTGTTGGAATTTGTATTTTATAAGAGAATGTATGATAACAAACAAAGTACGTTCTAAATTCCGCTTTCTGGAAAGATTCAAAATAAAAATCACTCGCCTTCTGTCTGAGTCATGTGTTTTACACTCATCTCTCGAAAGTTAAACTCACCCAGACGGCCTCGAAGTGGCTCTAGAAGCGAACTGATTGTAAAACACGCAACAAAAACAGATGGGCGTAGCTGAGTCATTTTTATTTCGAATTGTTTCCTTAATTTTCCTGAAGAGCAATTTGAGTCTAAAGACGTCTTATTGTTTTAGCCTTAAAGGAGCTGTGTTCACGAACTTTATCAAATTTCAAACAGTGAAAGCTGCCACCAAATTGTGAAAATTACATAAATAGCGCTTCCCAACATTAAAAGAAGGTATAAACAACACAGCTAATACGAAAAGAGGAGCCGATTGACAAACTTCTGTAACTTGAAGCAGACTTTGAAAAACAGATTGCAATTGGGGTCAGTTTTGAAAATTTGTCAGCCTAGCTAACGAGTTCACTTTTGTTGTATGTAACGTTTGATGTCATGCTTTGGGGGAGATATTTGCTGGATACGAAGTTGTGATTTTGTCATCTTAAGTAAATTCCTTGATAATGTCAAGTTCCATACAAAAAAAGACGCAGTTATAAGCAATTTCAAACGAATGAACTAGACAGCCGTGTCTCATCCCCGTTAACACCTGAGACAAACATTCAGCGTTCCATTATCACAATTATTGCAACAACGTTTCACCACAGGAACAATAACATGTATTGAACGCACAAAGTTACAAATAGAGGATATTACATGGCCGCTTGGGGATACGAATTTCATCTTCTCGTGCTGAAAGTATGTATCACGAGTGAGCGAAGCGAAGCTTTCTGTTTATTTTATGGATACTGATGAAATTCCTATATAAAACACAACTTTTTTAAAAATTCATTAATAGTGCAGTTAAAGTGGTCACCTATCGCAAAATGCTTGTCATAAAAATGTTGTCGGATGTACAGTTATAAAGGAGAAATAAAGACAATAATTGGCTAATCATGTTAGTAACCATGGCGACACCAGTATCCTCACACGTGAAAGACGCAAGCGCGCGCGAAAATTACCCCACGCGAGAAAAGCGAGACGCGGTGGTGAGAGAGGGTGCGTGGAGTGATTTTTACGCTCTCTCGAGTTTCGCTCGCCCTACTATCCCTGAGGAAAAAGGGGGGACTACTTGTAGTCTAAGTTAGTAGAAAGTCTAAAAAAGCTCGAATATCTTAGAGAAGAATGGAACTGTTTTTCAGGTATCTTTATCC